TTAACTGCCAATCTTAGTTGGCAGTTAATTTGCATATAGCCCTGATTAGCCAATGAAAAGGGTATTGGTCATACGACAATTACCATTTTTGTCTTTTATTAGATAGGATATTAAGTTCATTTTTCTTGAATAATTTATGTTTATCGCATTTAATACTATTATATTTAAAATAGTTTCTCTTGAGATAAAATAAAATAAAATAAAATACTGTAAGGAATTGCTGAGAAGAAACAGAGATGTAATGGGGCGACCAGAGGAGACAACCACCAGGGACTCAGATCAAGATTTAGGAGCCTTTATTAAGCTGGCCAGAGACTACAGTTACAGCACCCTGCCGAAGCAAAGGCAGAACTGCAGTGCCGACCACAATATGCAGCCCAGCACATTCCCTATTGGTCTTATTGGGAATCAAATCATTGATTCTGCTTCCTGCCAGCCTTCTTTAGGGATTTGTTGGTAGTGGGTGTGGAGGACCATGAGCTTGACAGCTTGGATTCTGCTTTGAATAATATTAAGTAAGCATTTAGTGAGGCATGGACCGAACAGTGAAATTGTAAGTAGCAGGACCAGTGGGCCAACTATGGCTGACAGGAGGGTGGTTAAACAGGGCGACCAAGTAAAGATGTTTTCATACCAATTTCCTTCTACTTTTCTTCTTTCTTCTCTGTCTAAGAGGGGTTTTCTAAGCTGGCTTAAACTTTCCCGAATAACTCCCGAGTGGTTGGTATAAAAACAACAAGCTTCTCCCAAAGCTAGGCACAATCCACCTTGTTTAAGGAATAGCAAGTCTAGCTCCCTTTGGTTCTGTAAAACTACTTCTGCTGAAGAGCTTAGAGAGTTTTCTAGCTGTCCTACAGATTTTTCAAGAGTGCTGAGGTCCTGGTCAATTTGATGCCCTAGTTCCTTGTTGTTCTATTGTCCAGTTACCAGGGCAGCTGTCCCAACAGCTGTGGATTCTGCTATGCCTAGCTCAATGAGGAGGGGGACTAGGACTGATGCTCTTTTGTACCGCTTGGGCTCTAACCGTAGATATTCTCTTCCTCCTTCTCCTGAGTAGTAATATACCTGTGAGAGTATGTGGGTTAGGATGCAAATGCCCGGATCTGATTTTGATAGTAATATTGGGGGGAAAGCACAGGGAGTAATTCCATTATTACATGCCCACCAGGTACCCTCTGGTGCAACAAAATATCTATTTAGGGATTCATCATATTCCTTAGGAAGTTCTATTACCTGGGTACAGGAGGAAGAATACGGAGAGGACTTTAGGGGGTAATTTACCGGGGTTATACAGGTACCAGCTCCCTGTAAGTCCTCTAAGGTAAGACCTCGAGACTGGTGACCCCATATGCAGAGACCATCAAGCAAGCTTTCAACTGAGTAGTTGCAAATTTTGGAAGCATTTCATCCAAAAGAGATATTTGCCCCGAACCCTACATAAATAATAAGGTGGTTCAGGGTTTAGACATAACCAATAGTCCTTAGTCATATTGAGTGAAGTTTTGTTAAGGAAGTGGAACATAGCCTCTAGAGTACCCAATAAACCCTTATGAGATGTATCCGGTGGTGGTTCAAGTTCCCCCGAGGACCTGGTTGGTGTTGGGGCTGGCTCCAGTGTCTCCGTGTTGTTCCAGTCAGGCATTCCCGGAACAGATGGAGGTGGGGTTGGAGCTTGCCTAGGCCTGGGGGCCATGGGGACTCAGGTTGGAATATTGGGCACTGGGGACCACAGGGTTTCAGACCAGGAGAAGGGTGCAACGTTGAATGGTGAAAAGTTCACCCGGATCCCGGCCTGACACATATAGTCAAATCCCCCATGTTTTTCCCCCTTCCCAATAGTCCGCCCTCCAGTCTAAAGGTTATAGTATTACTGGATTGCAGTCCCCAACTGAGCAGTTGGCCGTGGGTGCCCCCAGGCCTCACTGTCCTGGTAAACCGGAGTAGTGAGTCAGTGGTCTTTCATGGGGCTAAGGGTTCACAGCCCCAAGAGGCACAGTAAAAATCATCTTCTCCCCCACACTCCAGGGGCCCTTCTTGGGGGCAGACATAATGCTGGGTTCACTATAGGTCTTGTTCAAGTTTAAGGCTTCCACACCCATATGTCTGTGTAGATACATACCCAGTATTTCCCCCTAACATCCCAGATCCCCTTTT